TGGCCAGAGTATCCTGTTGTAATTCATCTCAGTACAGCTCACTGGACCTGAACTGAGAGAGAAACAGTAACAAATCAATACAGTTAAATCTGCAGCTGCTGCAAGTAAGAATATTTTTATGTCATGGATTAATAACAAACTTCCCACCACAGCAAACTGGCATAAGAATCATGGACTCTTGAATACTTGACCTGTCTGCTTCACTCCCCTAAAAGGAACAGTTTATGAATATATGAACTCCATATCTAAAAGTAGGATCTTGATCTTTTATTACCAGCTGTGATAGTGGGGATGGTAGTGTTCATGCGTGCATGCATATCATAATGGAAAATTGTCATGGAGACACCTAATGTAGCAGGAACTATCAGAGGAAGTTTAGGTTTTAAAGACCCTCTGATGAAAATCCAGTGTTAACATCCATATGATGTTTTTATATAATACAGACATATGATGAGAGAAATGATCATCAACACCATGACTGAGTGTTTCCACCTTGAACTGCAGTGAACCAATGACAGTCTCATAAAAACAGATTCAGACAGCCAGGGTTTCATATGTCACAAACCTAAGGAACCAATCCTGTCAACTTGTGGGGACGGGGGGCGGGGCTAAATAAACCTGAAACCTTGTCAGTACAGAGAGAGAGTTAGCATTAGCACAACCACTAACACTGTGTCAGCCACTGCCAGTTACAAGCTAACAAACAACATAAACAAATAAAAGATGCTAACTGCGCTAACCGTTCTGATCCGTCTGCTAGTCTCTGGTTCTGGTCTCAGACTCCTCATCTGAGTCTGGGTCTGACTGAGGCTCAAACATGTGGCTGAGTCTCTCTGATGTTTCCTCCTCTAACCATCTTGATACTCTCTGCTCTTTCACCTGTCCACCTGGAGACAGCAGGTGGTGGGCGGGGTCCAAGGCCTGATCCAGGTTTCTCAATCAGGAAGTAAGAGGAGATGAGCTTCAGACCCAGTTTTTTTTTTTTTTTGACTTTTTATGTGGAAAACCATGTTAAAGAAAATATGAATCATAACAGATGACTTTTACAGAGTTTAAAACATGTCTGGAAGAACTTTGAGGCCTCTGTCAGGTGTTTATATGTCTGTCTGTCTGTGGACACATCACTGTCAGTGCAAAATACAGTCACAAAACTTTACAGGTGTGTAGGTTGTGTAAAGGATGGGTGTGGTCTGAACGGTGACCACTGAGTACTCATGTAATAATGCAGTAATAACTACTGAGTACTAAGGGTCAGAAAGTCAACATGTTGATGGGCGTCGCTGGTGGGATCCCATTGCAGGCTCATTTCTAGTTCAGTATTTTTATTGATCTTTTTTCTTTCCCTCATGGTTAAATATGAAGCCAATAATAATTATGGGAACATAATTATTATTTATTATACAAGAGCAAGCAGTAAATGAAATAATTTACAGCAATTACACTGTATTTCATTACTGCGTGAATGTGAATGCGAGATGCTCTGATGCGCTGACTCTTACCCTGCCGGGAGTGATTCTGTGGTCGACTCTGTCGTGGTGCTGCTGCTGCTGGCCTGCTCTGTGCTGGAGGTGGCACTGGGGGTGGGCGCCGCCGGGGTTGTCGGACCCAGGGCGTCCTGACCTGGAGAGGGGCTACCGTTGCTGCTGCTGGCGGCCGGGGAGCGGCCGGACGGAGAGGGTGGAGGAGGTGTGTGGCGGGCGACGCCCCCTCGACTGTTCTCCAGCCCATTTGACGTCAACTCAACTTTGTCTGAGAGAAGATAAGGGAAGAAGGACAAAAGAAATGGAAAGATGGTGATAAACCAGGATCTCAGGATCAGCTGATGTGGTAATGTGGATTTTCTAGCCATAACTAGTCCACTGTACTCATGTGCTACTGAGGAGGTCTGGCATCTGGCAGATCTGCCCAACACTGTTACATTATAGCGAGCTATAAAAACAAATATGGAGAGCAAACAGTAAACAAACAAATTTCTGCAGAGGTCTCAGATTTACAAGCTGAACTGTTCAGATATAAATCTTCCATAACTAATGTGGACTAACATAGAAAACATTCAGGCGAATGATGAAAAGGCTTCTGGTTTAACCAGCGCCGTATGGAGGACCAGGAATGTCACAGGACAAGTAATAAAGCATTTCTTTAATTTCATATTTTAATATGCATTAAAAATAGGAATTGTAAAAAGAATTTATAAATGAATGATTAATCCATCAGTAAATACTTCAGATTTAAATTAAAAAATAATAATCATCAAATAAACCATTTATAAAAACATTTATTCATTCATAATTAAAAAACTAAATTTTAAAAGGCATTTTCAAATGGGAAAACATTCCCGAATTCCCTTTTCAATTTCCATTTCCTTTTTACAGCCGCTTTTCCTTTTCCTCTTAGCTAATCGATTAGCTCAGTCATTTAGCTTCTTGTATTAGCCTTTCTGTGACACTCTGGACCTTCAGTGCCAGTAAAACCAGGTTAAACAATCCCAGTTAGCCATGGGAGGTAACAAGCTCTGTGACTGGTTGGAGACCAGTGGGTTTTACCAGAACTGATGGCCCAGAGTGTCACAGAAAGGCTAAATGGAGAAGCTAAGTGACTCAGCAAATCAATTACAGATTCTGTGAAAGATTCAGCTGTAAATCATTTGCTTGACAACAGCTGTTGGCTGTTTTTATTGTGACAGAGACTTGATCGACTCTTGTCCATTTCCATTGTTAGAATCGCAAAGTTAAACTTTAATTAATTTAAATTAAATTAAATTGAAAGTTTAAAGTTAATTAAATTTACTTTAATTAACACTGATTAATAATCATTTGTATTATATGTCTATTTTAAGTTTCAATCAACTTAGACAACATAGACTGTGTCTGACACGTATTTGTTCTGATCTTCAGGTTGTAGCTATAAGTTCTTACATTAAGTCTTTATTTACACCTGGCATTAAAAAGTGTTTTGGGGGATGGGATTGCAGTGGGATAGTGCCTCACCCAAAGATGGATGTGGCCATCTCCCTCACCTGTGACACCCAAGCAAACTACAGTTGGGTTCTGTTCCGCGGTTCTGTCCACCTCCTCATCGTTTATACGTTTGTACCTTTATTGTTCAAACACTGACACTGTTACTGATTCGTTTTACTTGAATAACACAGTTTTAAAACACTGTCTGGAAAGTTCAGAGAAAAGGAGTTTCAAAATGCTTCAAATAGTTCCTCATCTAGCAGCAGGAACTGTGCAGACAACAGACAGGGGTAGCAGAGCAGCAGAGTGGATTCAGGACCAAAGCTCCCAGTACAGCTCCCACTGAGGCCAGTGTTACAGAGTACGCAGTAGGCACAGAACAACTGTAATCTAGTCTGAGGTTGTTTATCAGCATAGTGTTGTACAGCTTTGTTTTCTGCTCGTTTCATCAGAAATTCTAATGAGCTAAATTAAGTTTTCAAAGTCTTTGGGATTTTGACACGACTCTGATTGAGTGATGCATAAAGATAGAACTCAGCTTTTTGTGAAGTAATCATTTGGACACAACTGCTGTGCACACTGATGCAAAACAATGCTGTTATATGTAGCAGTCAGAACAGCATTTAGTTCCCTTTAAAGATGATGGATATCTGCGCAAACTACTATCAGCAGCTTCTGTTGATAAATCATCAGAATCCGTTCAGAAACAGATCTGAGTCTGTGTGTAACACAGTAATAGGGTGTCTCATATACCTGCACTGTTTCCTGGGCTTCCTTGACTCTTGGAGGACTGACGGCGCCCAGACGAGCCCGGCCCAGGGATCTGCTCCTCAGTCAGCTCCCCATTAGTCAGAAACCCCCCTCTGGAGCACCCTGGGGAGCCACTCTGCGAACCCCCCACCGAGTGCCTGTTACTCCTGTGAACAGAAAGAGAAACAGAGGGAACAGGATGTGGAGCGGATGGGGGGGGGGGGGGAAAGAGAAGGCGATGAGGAGGAAAGGCAGGAGGGAGGGGAGGTGAGACAAAGAAACATCAAGATTTGCTTTGTGTTCTTTGACTCTCTTTTATATTTGGTTCCTGTGGATCACCGCACAGGTTTGTTTTCACAATTAAGGATCAGACCTATTGTTCCTGACTCAGGGGAACAGGCCTGGCACACGTACCAGTGTGTACATGGGTGAAAGCAGGACACAAAAACACACACAGAGGTGTCGGAGTTGGCTACTTCTCCTCTCTGAACGCCTTCATATTTTCCGAACACTAAATATAACTTTGCTTTTCTGACAAGAACTTTTATACAAAGATAAACATGTTGGCTTTCCCTCCCCAGGACCGAGGAATGTTGAGGCCAAGTTTGGACGGCCATTAACAGAAAACCGGATTCAGGGCTCAGTTGTTTATTTGCCACAACGAGGAGAAGAAGCAGGAGAGGAAGGAAGAAACAATCAACAGTGGTGACTTCTTGGTGTGTGTGTGTGTGTGTGTACTGTGCACCCAATGTGTGTGTCTCATCATGGCAGAACAGGAGTAACCTCCTCTCCTCCGTCGGTGGCGTCTGTTCCGACACAACTGGATGGAGATGTTGACTGCTTCTCCATGACAGCGGCGGTTTGGGCTCTTGGCTTAACTGTGTTTAATGCCCCCCTACAATGTTTAGAGGGAAATACCATCTGACCCCATGCAGCCACACCGCAAAGCTTTGAAATGAATGCAGCCTGCTCTACTATTTATTATCCATTCTAGCCAGTGAGAGCGGCGTCTGAAACCACATTCAGGGGGAATAACATGCTGGCACTCTGCACAAGTGCTTCAACCGACCATACTGGCACAGACTTCCTCCACTCCATTCTTTTCTTCCATTTATTTTGATTACTATTATGCCTCGGGTCTTATGGTTTTCATAAGCGCTTTGCAAACAGTGTTTCAGAAAAAGGTTACGCAAGTTTATTATTGTGCTATTATTCTTATTATTTTACCACAACGTCCAGAGATTTGAAACGAGCATTGTAATGAACTGTGCTTGATTTAGATGCATAAAAAGCTGCTTTTCCATGTGTGTCCATGTGGATGTTTCTCAGTTTAAGACAAAAGTCATTAACTTATTTAAAGTTGGTTGAGGCCTCTGCTCCAGGTCACTCCAGCCTCCTCCTATACAGAGTCTTCAGACACCTTCACTTTTTGTGTTAAGAGTTCATTTTAAATGTATACATTTTTTTTTTTTGCCCATCAATCCCATGATGACAAAGTGAGAATATGTTTTTAGAAATTTTTAGAAATTTTATTAAAAAAAAGAAAAGAAAACTTGTATACTAAGTATTCAGACCCTTTGCTTTGGCTGCAGTCAGGTGTCTCCTGTTTGCTTCATTTATCATGGAGATGTGTCTTGAACCTGACTGGAGTCCACCTGTGGTAAACTGAACTGTTTGGACATAGTTTAGAAAGGCATAGTCCTGTGTATACAAGGTCCCACAATTCACACTGCAGGTCAGGACAAAAACCAAACCATGAAGTCCATGGAGCTTTCTGTTGACCTCTGATGAAACTGTGGTGAGACGTAGATGACGACAAGGGTATAAAACCATTTCTAAAGCACAGAGGCCTCAGTAACTGTGAAATGGAAGAAGCTTTGTCTTTCTGTCTTTGGCTACAAGACCAAGCATCAAGTCTGGTTCACACCTGGCACTGCTCATCACACATATAATACCATCCCTATGGTGAAGCATGGTGGTGGCAGCATCATGCTGTGAGGGGGCTCCTCAGCAGGGAGACTGGTCAAATACAGAGAGGTCCCTGAGTGCACACAACCCAAGACTGGTTCACCTTTCAGCATGACAATGCCCAGAAACACACATCCAAAACAGGTCTGGAATGGCTACAGGACAGGTGTCTGACTTGGCCCAGCCAAGATCCAGAATTAAAACTCAGAGCATCTGTGTAGAGGCCTGAAGATGGCAGTTCAGACACTTCCCATCCAATTTGACAGATCTGCCAGGAAGAATGAGATAAACTGACCAAATCCAGGTGTGCAAAGGTCGTAGAGACTCACCCAAGAAGACCTGAAGCTGTACTTTCTGCCAAAGACGCTTCTACAGAATCTGAATTAAGGGTCTGAAAACCTTTGTAAATGACAGATTTCAGTTTTTGATTTGTAATAAATTTGGAAAAAATTTAAAACATGTTTTAAAGTGATACTGATAGTTCAGGTTATTTGACGCGGGTTTGTGTGAGGTACTTATCTATTGTCAGTGTATTACCTGCAGTAGCTCCCAGTTTAGAGAAGCAGTGGGAGAATCAGCACAATACCTGAGTGATGAGCTGCTGTGGATGGGGTCGTCTGCAAAAACATATTTTAGCCACTTAAAAAAAAGGCCCACAGAAAAAAGCTAATATCAATTTAAATGTTCGCTTTATTTTGAATATTTTCTCCATTTCATCTCACTGTCAAACAGCCCTTTCCTTTGGAACTACATTTTGTGAACTGGTGAACTACCGTTTTACTACACACAAGCGCAACTACAGTGCACACTGTATTACTCCACAGATCAGCTGTTTGAGTCAGACAGAGCTAAGTGTAGGTGCGCTTGTGTGTGGGAATAAGATAGTTCAACGGTTCATAGACTGTTCCAGTGTAAAGGGCTGTTGGACGGCAGATAAAGTTGTGAAAATGTTCAAAATAAAGCGAACACTTAAACTGATGTTAGCTTTTTTCTGTGGGTATTTCTTAAAGTGACTAAAACACATTTTTGCTGATCCCGTCCACAGCAGCTCATCACTCAGCTTCTCCCGCTGCTTCTCTAATCTGGGAGCTGATCTCAATCTAATGCAAGTAATACACTTACTCACTTTGGCCTTCAGTGAATGGAGCGACAATAACTGCCTCCTTCTGAACAGCTCCAAGACCAAGGAGATGGTCATCGACTGTCGGACGTCTAGGCCCACCCTTCAGCCAGTCAACATTGGAGGGAAGGACATTGAGGTGGTGCACACTTATAAATACCTAGGTGTGCACCTGGACAGTAAGCTGGACTAGTCCCTGAACAGAGATGTCATCTATCTGAAGGGGCAGAGCCGGGTCTTGTTCCTCAAGAGGTTCAGGTCCTTTGACGTCTGCAGTGAAATGCTGCACATGTTTTATCAGTCAGTGGTGGCCAGTGTGCTCTTTTATGCTGCAGTCTGCTGGGGCAGCAGCATGTCCTACATGAACACAAAGATACTGGACAAGCTGGTCAGAAAGGCTGGGTCTGTGCTTGGCAGGAGTCTGGACTCACTCAGGACTGTTGTGGAGAGATGCATGCGATGTAAGATGGAGGCCATCTTGGACAATACCAACCATCCTCTCCACAACATTCTGGCAGGACAGAGAAGCAGCTACAGCTGCAGCAAACGTCTCATCTCACTGCGCTGCAGAACAGAGAGGTTCAGGAGATCCTTTGTTCGCACTGCCATCAGGCTATACAACACCTCAGCCAAGGGAAGTGGACTAATCTAATTATTATTGTTTATTTATTATCAACTGTTATTATTAGCAACAATGATCTAATGGACACATGAATTTCCCCTAGGGGATAAATAAAGTATATATCTATCTATCTATTACCAGGGTAATGCACTTAAGCATGTACACATTCAGCTATTCATTAACAGCTTTTACATCTGTTGCTCTAATCCTCTGAAAAGACCGTGTGACTGGGACTAATTGAGCCCTCTGTCTCTACTTTTCACAGCTTTTATAAAATCAGAGGATTTACTTATTTCCTATGTTGCTGCTCTGACTAATTACCGCAAAGCAAATGAACAAAATGATCGCTCTATGGCTCACAGATCCTGACGCAATTCTTGTCTATTCATAGATGATGGTCATGACTGTTGCCGCATTTAATATATACACTTTGATACGTGACATAGTGTCTTTGCTATCACTCCCTGAAAGCTGCTGTCATAAAGTCAAAACAATCAATGTTGCTTTTCTAAGATAGAATATGGTCAGGATAAGGCACAATACATATGTAGCTTTTTTTTTAGATTTTCCTCTTCTTCTGTGTTTTAGTGTCAATCCATAAGAAGATATATTTGCGGTTTTAACAGTGTGTGTGTGCGTGTGTGTGTTGACCTGCTCTGGGATCCAACAGCACTGGGAGTCTCCTCACTCTGTGTTCTCCTCAGGTTGGGTCTGTCTGACTGAAGTATCTCTGCAAAGACACATGACATCATCATTGCACAGATATAACCAGCTGTCAGTGAGAGGGTGGTGGGGCATGGAGGGGGATGGAAGGAAGGATGGAGGGGGTACAGGCAAGAGATAGATTGAAAGAAACCAAAAACATATGTGCTGCATTGAGACCGACATGAATCTAGCTTTTCAAACCGCCACACTCACATCCATATCTAAATGACTTGAGCTGTGCTACATCATTTCTGCAGCGTTGGGGAAAGGGCATCTGAATGTGAAGATGCAGAAACACTGCTGTTCATTAAGCTCAAAGAGTCGGTGGAGACTAAAACAGTTCAGAACAGAATCCTTGACTAAACAAAAAAATTCAAGTATAATCAAAGTATAAAAAAACCCCCCAAAAATTCAGTTGTGTCTGCTTTTATACTCGTTTGTGTTCATGGATCAGCAACAATGTGTAGTGTTACTACATGGGTTGTACAGGTTACAGTAAATAATGAGATGTTGGATATTGTGGAGGAGGAGGAAATGTTATTTTTAACTTTTCTGACAGGAAAATGGGAGAGACGGAAACAAGTTGACGCATCAACATTAATGAAAAGTTGAGGATAAAAGAGGAAGACTCAGGCTCACTCAGAAAAAAGAATGAAGCAACCATTTTCAGGTAAATCGTTCACATTTTGTTACATTGCAGCCTTAAGCTAACATCCTTTCATTCATTTTATCCCTCATCAATCTTCACTCAGTACCCATAATGACAAAATGAAAACACTATTTTAGAGATTTTGTAAATTTATTAAAAAGGGAAGAACTCGCTTTTCTATGACACTTGACATTTAGCTCAGTTTCCTCCATTTCTATTGATCATCTCCGAGATGTTTCTACACCTTGACTGGAGTCCAGCTGTGGTCAGTTCAGCTGATTGGACACACCCCTGTCTATATCAGGTCTCTCAGCTGACAATGCAGATTACAGCAGAAACCATGAGGAGGAAGGAGCTGCTGCAGAGCTCAGAGACAGGACTGTGTCGAGGCTCGGAAACACTTCTGCTGCACTGAAGGTTCCTGAGAAGAACAGTGGTCTCCAGAAGGAAAGATTAAGAACACCTGTCAGTGTCAGTTTTCTTTGTTTTTTCCTAAGTGTGGAAGAAAATGGTTGTTGTTTTGTGTTTTTTCAAAACAATGCTGCCTCTGGCTGCTCCCCTGGCTGACACTTTAAAGAATTCAACACAGCAGTCTCTCTCTCTCTCTCTCTCTCTCTCTCTCTCTCTCTCTCTCTCGTGTCTCACTTTGTGGTGTGCTGAGTTTTCTTCTCTCTCTCTCTCTCTCTCTCTCTCTCTCCTTTCTCTCTCTCCCTTCTCTCTTCCTCTCCTCCTTTTCTCTCTCTCTCTCTCTCTCTCTCTCTCTCTCTCTCTCTCTCTCTCTCTCTCTCTCTCTCTCTCTCTCTCTCTCTCTCTCTCTCTCTCTCTCTCTCTCTCTCTCTCTCTCTCTCTCTCTCTCTCTCTCTCTCTCTCTCTCTCTCTCTCTCTCTCTCTCGTCTCGTGTCACACTTTGAACGGTGCTGAGGTTTCTGGTCCTCTCCAGAGCTGTGTAGAAAAATGAGAAAGTGCTCATAGTGTAGCTTAGGTTTGTATAAAAAAATAAAAAACTCCAGAATAATCAAATCCATACAGACTTGAAACATGTGGCAATGGAAGTACAGTTGGTGGTTTAATAGAGACCATTCATCCTTGTATGTACTGTGCAGTCTGTGCGCTGTTGTGTGTGTGTGGTAATGGTATGCGGTCCTGTGGTGTGAAGGAATGTGTGACTATATGCTCAGTCCCGACTGTGACTGAAAACCACAGGCCTATAACTTGCTTTTCATTAACACTCCTTTATACACACAAAACGCAGCACCTTCCTGTGTGTAAGACGCTCACACCAGAGGCACGGCTGCCTCACACAGTGTCCATGTTTACACACATATATCCTGCTATCTTAAAGTAAAGCAAACAGGTAATCTCCCACTGACTCTCTCTCTCTCACTCACTCATTCACACACCACACACACACACACACACACAGAGCTGTTTTTGTGGCTATGAAAGGGCTTCTTGTGGGCAGACCTGATGGACATACAGAAAAATAAACAGTGGTCTTAAGGAGAAACCATTTTGTCATAGCCTGCTCACTGAGTTCATCACCCCCCCCCCACCCCCCCCACCCCCCACCCCCCTCTCTTAATGGCACAAGTCTAATTGCTGGCCTGGTGTGTGTCCGTGTGCATGTAAGTGTGTAAAATAGAATTTCCAGCCATGTGAAGACACAAAAACATCTCAACTAAACGCACAAGTAAACCACACTAAAAACAAACAGAGCACATCTCAGTTCAGCAGCTGCTGTGGATGACTGGAAACTTCAGGTTACCTGAGTAATCCCTGTTCTCTGAGTGGTACAACAGCACATCTGAATGAATGCTATGGTGAAACACCGTCACCACTGATTAACTGATCAATTACTATTTTTAGATATTTTTTATATGTGCAAAATGCAGAAAATATATAGACGAGGACAAAAATAAAAGGAGAAAACAAGGTGGGAATCACGATTCCTGCCGTTTCTGTAGAATGCATCAACATGGTGAAGGAGGGTATTTTAAGTCAATGTACTCTGTTTATATGGTATATAATACATAAACAACAGCACAAACAAACAAAATAGATAAAGAAAGAAAGAAAAAACTGCTCACAAAACTGCTTTTGTCAAAGAACAAAGAAGAGTGCGAGTGTCATTTTCTTTGTTGACCAGTACATATCAAAGTCTTTCGAGGTCAAGCACCGTTGCCAACTCTCTAACCCATATATGAAACCTGGCTTATTCCCTGACTTCCAGCTCTGCAAAATGAGGCGTTTGGTCAAAAGGGCACAGAGAGAAATGGCTAATTTCTCACAGCTGGTTAAAGAGGAGTTAGTAGAAGTTTAGGCCAAGTATAGCCAACATGGGATCTGGGTAATAGCTTTTTTATAGGCAACACAGATTAACTTATCACTTACTATTTTGATTAATGTGAACTTCAATTACTGCCTCACAGTTGTATGCCTCTACCAACCAGCCAAGTTGCAGGAAATACGGTTCGCAATCCACACACCTTCACAACCAGTTCATCTTTGAGTCCAAGTGAATGTTTGCACCAGATCTAAACTAATTCCCTCAGGATGGTCTTGAAACACACAAATTCAAGAGGCAAAAACTGTGACCTTTGACTTTTGACGACCAAAATCTAATCAATGTATCCTTGAGTCCTAGTGAATGTTTGTGCCAAATTCCCTCAAGGTGTTACTGAGACATCACCTTCAGACGGACAACAATATGCCTCCGGCTCTTGACTGTTGGCGGCATGGAGGCATAAAAAGAGGAAAGTAATGTTTGCCATCTAGCTAGCTAACATACAACATGACACATGTCCATCTCAACACTCAGCAATGGCAATTCAAGATCATTTATTGTTTTTGCTTTTAGTGTATGGGCTCAAAAAGATGTTGAGCTTGTAAAGTTTATTATGGTTGTAATCAACTTTTGTAACATGCAACATAAATCTGCATGAGGAATCAAGTTTGTACATTTGTAGAAAAGATTTGTATTTGACTGAACAAATGATATCAGTGGAAAGATTACACAAAGACACTGTGGACAACAAGACAAGTGTTTTTGTAAAACATCTGTATTAAGGCCTGAATTTAATTTGCCCTGCCACAGTTTAATGTATATAAAACATGAGCACACACACTCTGATCAGCTGATTGTAATGAAGCTGCTTGTAAGTGTGTAGGAGCTGCTCTGTGATTTAAGAGCGGAGGAGATGGACAGACAGACAGAACACGTCATTTACTTCAGTTTCTGATCCTGCTGCTTTTTATGGTGGTAAAGACAACTCCTGGAGTCAATGAGAGAGGGAGCAGTCACTCCTCTTTCTCTCTCGCTCATAGGGTAACGTAACTGTCTACTCTATGTGCTCTTTTAAATTGCCCCCTGGGAAAAATAAAGTTTATTGAATTGAATTGCTAACCAGAAATAACCTCTTTGATTCAGGAGTGACACCGTCATTGGAAGTACTGTATTTCTGCCTCTTACAGTCAACAATTCTTTGGCACATACAGCCCGGTAATGTACAGATTCTAGCACGACATGTCCAGGATAATGTGTGTTAGTCACTGGTGTGTCTGTGCTGCAGTGTACATGTGGCTTCTGTGAGATGGGATGTTGTGTATACATGGAGTGTGTATGTGAGCATCTAACATTTACAGAGTGAGCCAATATTCCCAGAGAAATCTTTCTCTACCCCCCCACCCCACCTTTCAATACAAGGATTTGTTTGTGTGTGTTTGTGTGTGTGTGTGTGTGTGTGTTTGGGGGGGGGGGGGGGTCAGAAAAGCTGCCAGGGGAAATGAGTAAAAAAACGAACAGGAGGAGCGTTCAGAGCAAGAAAAACAGAGCGCTTTAACACCAGCAGAAGGTAACACACTCAGACCTTTATATATTCAGGCAGTCCACAGATACCCTCACACACACACACTGCTGCATGTAAATGTAAGACACAATATACATGCACACCCATGAACTGACACGACAGCATCTACACTCAGTTTTATGAGTGTAGATGCTGAAAACATACACATACAAAGACAACTGGTCAAAGTCTGAGAACACCTCCATTTCCAACTGTTATCAATGTCTCAGTGTTTCTCAAATTAAAATCAAGGAATCACAGAATCTTCTTTGTTGGACTAAACTTAATCTAAAGTTTTGACTCATCCAGCAGCTGAACTCACTCGTGGCTCGTTTTCACATGGGAAATCAAACATTGTCCAGAGGTTGCGTCCCCGCCACTGTTGCAGCGGTTACCACAGATGTGTTGACTGCATGTGTCATTGCTCTTTCACCTTCTGTCCAGTTCATCCTAAAACCAGCTCCACGACGTTTCAGTCAGACTGTTCTGGTCTTTCATCATGTGAAGCCTCCATCTTGTTCTGGTCTTCTAATTTTTTGGCTCACTATCTTACCAACCAGTCTGTCTGTTACTTGTCTTTTTCTCTCCATTCTGACAGCAATCTACAGAACTACCTCCTGTAGTACAGTACGTCTGAATAATGCATCAGTGTAGTAGTAGTATGAGTTGAGACCAGGACTGAACTGTTTGGGTCTCAGTTCTCAGAGTCACATCTGGGGGAAACCAGTCACCTCTCAACACCTGCCCAACACCATCCCACCAGTGAAGCATGTTGGAGCAGCATCAGCTGTGGGGGATGGGGGGACTGGTCAGGATGAGGGAAAGATGAACGGAGCAAAGTAAAGAGAGATCCTTAATGGAAACCTGGTCCAGGACCACAGGACCTCAGACTGGGCTGAAGGTTCACCTTCCAACAGAACACTGACCTCAGCACAGCCAAGACAACACAGGAGTGGCTTAGTGTCTGCTCACAGTCGTCCCCATCCAGCCTGACAGAGCCTGAGAGGATCTGCAGAGAAGAACGGCAGAAAATCCCCAAATCAGATGTGCAAAGCTCATCGTGTCAGACCCAAGAAGACTGGAGGCTGTAATCACTGCCAAAGGTGCGCGGTTCAAACTAAGTCCTGAGGACAGTGTCCCTGAATGCTAACCCTAACCCTTTAATACTAACACAATTTTTTTTTTCTTGTAAATAAATTTGCCAGATACACTTCTAAAAATTCTGTATTTCACCGTTCTCATTATGGTGAAGTTAGTGAAGGAAAATGATTCTAAATGATTGTATTTTTCTTGTGAATCCACTGTATACACACTCCCACACAAACTCAACCTCTGTCATCCTTGGCCCATGCCCCCCCCGCCCTGCACACTGCTTTTGGGTCAACAGGAGCAGTTGTACTGTCAAGCTTGCAAGCATATGAAGACCTAATTATGCAATTTTCAGAAAACAAATTAGACAAAAGCACATCCTGGTTCTGTTCATTATGTCGTGTGTGTGTGTGTTGTGTGGTGTGTGTGTGTGTGTGTGGTGTGTGTGTTGTGTGTGTGTGTGTGTGGTGTGTGTGTTGTGTGTGTGTGTGTGTGTGTGCAGTGTGTGAGCAAGTCAGGTCAATGTTCGACCTTTGTCCAGGACACACATCAAAAACCCATTTGCTATAGTTACTTTCATCTATGTCCTGAACCTTTAAAGTTCCCCTCCAACAGGTGTGTAAAAATACTTTTCTATGATTGAATATTTTGTTTAACTTGATTTTCCACATAAAAAAGTACAAAAAAATAACACAAACAAACAAACAAAAAACCCTGAAAATTGGCAGGCTAGCAGACGCAATCAAGACTTGAGCGTAGGTTAGCATCTTTATTTGCTAAATATGCTGAACTAATTAAAGCTTGGATATATATGGATATATGCAAAGAGTTTAAAATCAAAGCATCACGTACGCTTGAATGAAAACAGCTCGAGTGAAAAAAGGTCAAAATGAAATGGTGTTACCTTTGGTTGCTGAAATTGTTTTTCTGCAGCTGTTTCATTGGACTTTTTTTCTGTCTTTTACTGAAGCTAAAATGCGCCAAACCACAGGACACAGCTCTTCTTAGTATAAACTGCTTCGGGTGAGGGCTCCAGTGTCTTGTGCCACGTGTCGTCCCACATCACCAGCAATTCGCTTTGACTGAATAATGTGACTAAATGTTCAGTTGGAACAGGATGGAGGCACGTGACCGTACACAAAGTGGTATTTCATGAACCAATGCATTGGGAAAAGTAACTCAATTAATGACAATTGAGTGGAGATTAAAGACAAGCGATAGTCCAAATGTCCTATTGAATTACTTTTTCAAAATTATTGGCGCAGCTCTAGTGAGAATGCAAGACTCGCACTCTGTAACTGACATGGTTTAGAGTTTTCTTTTCCTATCTAAAATAAAATTTATAGCAACTTAAACTCGCCTCTTTTACAAGTGAAGACTTAAAAGTTTCACTTTACAGGAATCTGTCCTTGTGAAGCCATATGGTACTCCAGCATTCACAAACACACACAAATACACACAAAACACACCTCCTCTTTAAACCTTTTTCACATCTAAAACAGTCCAAGCAAAGAGACACATTTATACAGACCCATGCTGTGCAGGCCTTGGCCCTTACTGCTGCCCTGTGTTCATTCCAATGGACTACCAGTGTGGCGTCTGTTTGGCGCTCTAGTTGAAAGCCTTGTGTGTTGTCTCGTGTGTGTCGTGTGTGTGTGTGTGTGTATCTCTTTTGTGTAAGTGTGTGCTGGCAGCACAGAGAGAGGAGATGGATACATGGACCTCGGCTATGGTTTTTAAAAGGCAGCTTAAATGACTGTGTATTTGTTAAAAAGACACCTAGCCTTTGCTTCCAAACCATAAAGAAGGTAAAAATGTTAGCGCAGCGCCTAGAGAAGCGGAAACACTGCTGACCGAGAGTCAATAAGTCTGCTGGAGGATTTGAAATTCTTCCTCTGAGGGCTATGAAATGATTTTACATTGGGTTTGGGAATAGTAACACATGCACACTGAAATTAAATGTTCTCTAATGTCAGTGTTATTAGTTCAGTGAAGTACACCATTGGTGATTAGTCCAATATTTTCTGCTTAAGTATTAAATGACTTTTAAAGTATTAAATATAAGTATTAAATATTCTTGACATGTTATTCTTGGCAGGGCAGAGAAACATCCTGATACGCGATTTAAACAGCCTCCAGACTCTCCACAGAAAACCCAGACTTTGCTGAAATGAAATAAATAAACATATGATGCTAATACTAACCTTTATGAAACTGGGTTCTACTGTTGTCAGGTTGGAGAAGTGTTATCTTTCACTAATTCTGCTTTCTACACTTAGAGCAGGTAGAAGTAGTTCACAGAGAGAATAGAAAAAAGGTTAACATAACAATAATCTGAATAATCAGAAAAAAAAGCTGAGAAAACACTTAAGAGACCTTACTTTTAAAAAGGAAAATGTGTTGTGCTGTCTGGGGGTTTAAAAAATAGCAAAAGTTGCAGTCAGAAGTTTGATTTGAGTCTGTGCAGTGAATTAATAGGAAGGTTATGGAGGTGTCCACGGCAGAGATTCAGAACCAGTGATTGTTATAGAAGATGGACAACGTTCACAGGCTCCCCAACAATGAAGCCAAAACATCTTCGATTTGCCCCCTGGTGCTGGCTGCAGTGTAGGTCCACAAAACCGCCGCCCCTCATGGTTATGGATGGTCCAAACTACAGATCAAAGTACACGTCAAACACAGTTTTCCCAAAAGATTGTTTCTGACAATTTTAGCTTAGTTCTTTCAACACCGATGTTGCTCAAGTTTTCCATTTTTATGCGTCACACGCGGCCGACAGGCCCGGGAAGCAGGCCTTACGTTTGTTCATCCATCCTATGTCGTCCGTCCCATTCTCATGAACCGTGATATCTTCAATAACGCTTGAGGGAACTTCTTTAAATTTTGGGTACAGACGCTCAACGCAAAGATGAACTGATGAGGAATTTGTGCGTCAACGGTCATAAGGTTAAGGTCAGTGTGACCTTCACAAAACCTTTTCTTCTTAATCAGATAAAATGATGAACAGTGATGACATTCTATATACAAAACAGTTGGAAGTAACCTTCCCACTGTGACATCATAATGTTTGCAAAAGCCCTATTAATCGACACCCTCAGGAAGGATGTTGACCATATTTCCTGTACATGGCAAGTAACAGTTTTGATTTGTAGATTAATTTTTAATTTGAACTCGTGGACGTGGGAACATTAGAAGGTGCTGTGACGAGAGAGAGTTCTACCTGACAAAGGTTCTACTCGCAGCAAGCTAAGAAAGCTCGTTACAGAAAGCTGGCTGAAATGTAACGCTGGCCCAAATTCAGGAACAGTGGCTGGAAATTGTCCCGACATTTTTCATCATGGAAAAGTTCTAACATATCTTTTGAAGTCAGGTGAGAATTGTTTAAAAAGGATACAGTTTTTCTCTCCTCCTGGACTTGTTTCGCAGTTGTGGAAAATGTGTTTGCTCGCTCGCTCCGTGTGGCACTTTTAAACACACGCCGGGGTGAAATTAAAATGCAGGCGAGGACTGACCAGTCAGAAAATGTTCAGCACTCGATGCACGACGCACCCCCAAAAGTTCCGCTCCGACGACGGTAACCTTTTTTGGGGATCGATCAATTACCAGAACTAAATTTGAGTAGGTCCCTTGGTTCGCTGCGGTGGAGGAACTGCATAGTCCTCAAAAAGTTCCTGGATTCCTGGGGAAAGTTCTTGCGGCGGAAACGAGGGCTAAAGTGTTTGTTCTGTTATGTTCTAGATGATGAGATGTTGTCCGTCAATATTCTTTGTTGAAAACTCATAAAGAATGTAGGTGTGAAAGAATAAAAATGAGTGATATTGAATGCTACTATAACGATGGTGGGCAGCGGGAGCTCCATACTGCCGCTAAATCTATATCTAAATCTTTATCTTTTATCCACAAAGAAAATAATCAGATAAACAAACACGGGTAAACCCTGTGAAAGAGTCTGCACCTTCAGTCTGTCTCCATACTTTCTTTCAATGTTCATTCATGCCATCTACCTGGATGAATGAAATGAATGCTCGGCAAAATCGCTGCACGCATAAGCTATGTGACGCAACATAGGAATTTAGAATTCCCAACTTAGCCTTCTTGTTATTCCAGTTCAGCAAACAGTGCTTCCTTCTATTCAATACGGTGACCGCAAATGGAAACACTTTCAGAATTAAATGTGTCATTATAAAAAGATAACGTTACATACTTTTTGTTGTGATGGACAATTCACAAACTCTGAAAAACTTGTGGCTATCCTAGAGTTGGACGTTTGGCAAAGTGGACTTTGAGGCAAATACAACCAACACGCTCCAGAAACGAAATACCAAACATGGAGGATGCCTGAGAAAATGCAAGAACAAACGCAGAAAATATATCTCTCTCTT